AGTATGTAGTGGACATGTACGTAAAAATTGAGAGTCAAAGGCTTGATTTTTTCCGGCATAGGCAACAACAAATTAGGACTGAGCAATTACAGGGTGTCATGGATTCTGTAGTTGAGGGCCAATGTAGAGGTTCAAAAGTAGGGCAACGAGTAATTTTGCCAGCATCTTTTATAGGAGGTCCTCGTGATATGAAAAGAAGGTATGTTGATGCTATGGCCTTAGTTCAAAAATTCGGAAAACCTGACATTTTTTTAACAATGACTTGTAACCCATCATGGCCAGAAATCAAAGAAAACTTACTGCCCACTGATGAGTCTCAAAACCGTGTTGATCTTTCTGCTAGAGTTTTTCATGCCAAATTAGAAATTTTAAAAGAAGAGTTGTTTAAAAAGAGTTGTGAAATTCAAGAATCATATGCTTTGCATTATCTTTTATAAGAGGGTCTTCTGGGCCTAATACAATTCTTGCCTGGCGTACTAGATGTTAACAAATGGCTTAACACAATAGGTTAACAGTGCTACAAAATTGATTATCTACTTTGACTTCTATTACTATTAGCAAACTTGGTATACTTGTCCGAGCCTTTGTAATAATACAATGCTCATTCATTGCAGGCAAGGCCCTATTGGATTAGAGGCATACCAAAACTTCTAGATAGAAGTCAAAAGCTATGGTACCATTCATGCCCCCACTGCTACAAATACATCAGAGCAAGGCCAGATTGCGAGATCACCTGCACTTCATGCTACCAACGCATCCGTCTCACTCCACGGTAAACATATACCTTAATCTAATATTAACAACCCCTGCTGCCAAAAAAGCTTCTAATAACATGAACCCAAAAACAGCTGCAGACTAACAGTGCAAATTAGTGATATGAGTGGTGCTATAACTCTTGACCTGAGTGGTGATGATGCTGAACAACTCCTCCCATTCTGCATAAGTGACATCCAAAAGCAAGAGCAGCAGGTACATTCGAACTCAAAACTACTTTGCAACATTCTGCTCACTTCAAATAAATACTTAAAGTCTCTATTCTTCCTACAGGGAAATGTCCAGTACGCCACTATAGCAGATTTCATCAAGCAGAAAAACTTAGTTTGCTTGGTCAAGAAATCAAATACAATCCACAGTTCCAGGAGCTCAGAAAAGTACAATGCCATAGTTGCCCATATCAACAATGCTACTGCAGAAGAAAACTATGTCATCAGCAAATATATCACCAACTACAAAGCTACAGCATCCACTTGGGCAGCAGCACAAGAAGAACATTCCAAAAAGAATGTTACCGACATGGCTGAAAATATGGCAATAGAAAAAGTTGACAGCATAATGGAAGGAGAAACACAAAGCAAAGGAGTGGATCAACTCAGTCCTTCTAACACAGAAGATAAGAAGAAAAAGGCAGCAGTTGCAGCAGCCCCAATGAAACTCAGAGTCAACCCCACTAAGAAACACCGCACCTAAACTGCCAAAGCCCATCCTTGAAGTTATATCCTTTGCGAATGGATCTTCATTATTCCTAAGTACTACTACTTTAACGGACAAACTTGGCTGAACTTTTCCTTTATCTGTTCTATGTAAATAGAAGTATCTAAAATAAGACTGTTTCAAATTAGGTTAAGTGCAAGGTGGTCTATTATACCTTCTTAGAAAAGGAGCCACTGAGCATTTAATCTAAATCTGAAACTATCATTGGGCCTATATCCCTGTCCGTATGGTCATGAACTCAAACATCCTGATCTAAGCTATGGTTTTTTATAATACTATGGTGTGGTTCTCTATTATTTTCGTACGGCTTCTCAGTTACAACTTCAATCTTTTCTCTCTTCACTATTATTTACGAAGGTTAGATAGATCTCACCACGCGCATTATGGAGTGCGCATTGCGCGACCCACAGGCACCCCACTCCCGCGCATTGCGCGGGCCTCCCCCCTAGTATATATATATATATCTTTGTTTTTCCTTCTTTATTAGAAGAAAATTGACTGCTGGTTCCCAGGCCATAATGGGTGGATTTAATAGTCGATTTGTCATGACCATTAACCTATTAGTGTTTTTCTACTTTGCCTTTGGGCCTCATTTGTTTGCCAAACCCAATTGACCTTAATTCTCCTACCGGCCCAACTCAAATGAAAAAGCAAGTGGTAGGTTGGAGTGCTCCCCTATGTTCTACAATTTTATTTGTACTGTGAGACGGCTTGCGCGTTGCGCAGGAGAGCTAATATTTCCCGTGTTAAGTTGCACAATTTTTAGTTATTGTATAGTTATTATAGTGTAGAGAATGATATAGGTAGTATAAGCTTGGTTTGAATTAGTTCAAATAATATATAGTGTTGATATTTTGTATGATATGATTAGTATAAATTATGTGGCGTGGGTTAAGTGATTACAAAGGTGGGAAAAAGTATAGTTGAAGTTACAAAGCGAAGGAAGTGTTGTTACATGCATGGAAGTCAGTCCACAAGATAGTTATATGCATAGTTGGATTGATAGTTACATGAATAAAAAGATGGTTACAAAGTGATGGAAGTGCAGTTACATAGATGGAAGTCAGTCCATAAGATATTACATGCATAGTTGGGTTGATAGTTATATGATAGTGGAGCAAAAGTGCATCTGGAATTGATTTCATTAGAGTAGCAATGTTAAATAATTGCGTTGAGTTTGTGAACAATGTTATTCATTGGATTTCATTGGATTTTATTGGACTATGTTTATGAGAGTAGCAACGTTAAATAACTGCGTTGAGTTTTGTGAACATTTTAATTGTATTTTATTTAGATTATATTGGATACACTTGAACAAGTTCATCGTCAAATATTTGAAGTGTATATTTGTTCAATCCTAAGTGAGTAAATACGACAGTATGGTCTACTTTAATTACATGAAATTTTGTCAACTTTTCCCATCCATTTGTTAAATAATTGTCCTCAACTTTTATGTCCCAAGTCTTTTGTTGACAATAGAGCACAATTATGCTATCTTTATTTGGTAGAATATGGAAGGCATCATCTGGATGTAATTCCTGTCATAAAAAGATGTGAAATTTTTGTAAAAATATTGATACACTGATATGTTAAATATTTTGTGTAATATGAAAATTACCTAGTATTCTATATCGGATGGCCGTATTGTCACATAGAATTGAAACTTTTTGTTAGTAGTCCTTCTGTTGGGCAGAATGTTCCTGCAGTTTTCTTGGATAACAATTTAGGTTGATAAATTGTGTTTAATTAGAGAGTAATAATTTTGTACCATACCGTATTCGTCTTGGCCATAGTCTTGGGCTGGTAAAATGTTCCATTCATAGAAAGTTGAGCAACGATTTGGAGCAAATATCTGCACTCGAAAGGCCATTACACCTATGTGAAAAAATTGGATCATGAAGTTTTCTTGTATTTGGTGATCACATAGAAATTCTTTCCAGCCAGAATTTGCGGGACTTTCGTGTAATTTAATAAACCAAATTTTGTTTTCCATTTTTTAGTATTATTGTTCTTCGCATATGGTGTCCTATATGCGGCAAAAATTTGGCTGGTATGACCTGAAAATTAGTAGCAAAAGTAAGAAAAAATTAAAGTGGATTTTGATTTGCAATATATTTTGTTGAAAATATTGATCTTACCATTTGCTCTTACCAATATTTTGCTCTTACCAATATATTTTGGGACTCCATTAGCGTCTTGAGTTACATATGTAAATGTTGTTTTTATTGTTCCATTAGAGTAGTTTTGTTGAGCGGTTTTGGAGTCTACAAAGAAAATTGGCTCCATTTTTGTTGCTGCTGAGTTGTTTGGTTTTGTGGAGTTTTTTGCTTAATTTTTTGTGACTAACTGGGCTTTTGTTTTTGGAACTGTACTTGAGCGGTATTTAGTCCCAAGGTGAAGGCCGAATCAACATTGTATGCTATACGGCATACCTTACTCTTTGGGTGATGTGGCATTTGATTATTCCCCGATTTTTAGTACAAATAACAACAAATTTGCAGTGCTGTAAGTACCTGAAGTTGCTGAAAACCAAATGCCCTCAAAGTTGCTAGAAATTACGTTATAACCGCTTGACAAAAAATGGACTGTTCATTGTCCAACTCCCGCTTTTATATAGTTAGATGTTGTTGTCCATCTCTATTTTTTGTGTGCTCATCCCAATTACAACACAAAGAAAAAGAACCTTTTTTGGTTTAACATGAGTTCTAGCAACAAATAACTGATGAGATTTTTTTTCTTTTTTTTACAGCCAAAGAAAATAATTATGATAAGAGTTCTTAACATAATCAAATGTGCGACACATAAAGCAACGATTAATGTGAAAGCCATTCTCTCAATCATTTACAATGTCAAGGAATTAAAGGACACTACATGGGGTAGGAAATATTAATGTATTAAAGTATTATGAAAGGGAGTTGAACACTTGTCTTGACAGACTAGGGATCGACCCTAATTACGACTTGCATTTTCTGCTTTTTTTTCTAGAAGAACCATCTTTTTTTATGTGTTTTTCTTTTCAATGGGTTGTAAACGCTACCCATTCCTTCACGCTAGATGCAGTATGTACTGGTCTTATACAAGAAGGAATGAATTCAAAAAAAAATGAAGATAGAGAAGAAGGAGCGGAGATAGAACAGAAGGAAGACTAAGATATTATAGATGAAATGAGAAATGTTTACGTCCAAAATCTACATTTCTTCTCTTCCTCCACTGCTTTATACTAGTTTCTGGTATTCTAACAATATAACTAACGTATGCAATATGAAATGACTACATGCAAGATCAAATAACTAACACATGCAACCTGTTATTTGGAATACTCCCTCCTAACTAACTTCCTGATGTCAGCTAATTTGGCTCCAGCTCAGCCATTACAGTTGCCTTCCCTTCAACCAATCCTAGTTTCTAGGATTGAAGGACGGGAATTGGCTTTGTATAACAGTCAAATCCTCCCAGGTAGCATCCTCCTCATTCATGTTCTTCCAACATATTAAGACCTGCTCCACCTGCTAGCCATCCCTATCAATCATTCTTCTATCCAGGATTGCAGTGGGGGCAGTAGTGTAGAGCCCTTCCTCTGATACTTGTGGCAATTCATTGCTGATAGGAGCTCCTTTAGTCGATGGTTTCAAAAGTGAAACATGGAAAATAGGATGAATAGCAGCACCCTGTGGAAGCTTGAGTCTATAAGCTACTGACCCAATCTTCTTTTCCACCTGATATGGCCCATAATACTTGGCTGCCAACTTCAAGTTTCTCCTTAGTGCTACCGTAGTCTGTCTATAAGGTTGCAACTTGAGATACACGCAATCCCCCTCAGCAAAAGACCTGTCTGTTCTATGTTTATCTGCAAACTGTTTCATTCGGTTCTGAGCCTGCAATAAATTCTCCCTGAGCAATGTATTCCAGTTCACCTTTTCCTTTATCCAATCCTCAACAGCAGCAACTTGAGTGTCACCTGTGTTCAGACTCAGTTGGGGTGGTTTGTAGCCATATAAAGCTTGGAACGGTGTCATCTACAAACTGGAGTGGAAGTTAGTGTTGTACCACTATTCAGCCACAGGTAAACACCTTTTCCAATAGCCTGGTTGCTGCAAGCACATGGCTCTTAAGTAAGTCTCCAAACACCTATTCACCCTCTCAGTTTGTCTATTAAACTGAGGGTGATAGGAAGAAGAAAAACTAAGATCAGCCCTACTTGCTTAAAAAGCTCCTGCTAGAATATGCTGCGTGAACACTTTGTCTCTATCAGATACAATCCCTTTTGGCAGACCATGTAATCTAAATATTTGGTCGAAAAATACCTAAGCAACACTCTTAGCAGTGTAATGAGAATTCATGGAGGTACAGTGAGCATATTTTGTAAATCTGTCTACCACCACAAATATGACATCATGACCATATGATTTGGGTAGTCCTTCAATAAAATCCATAGAAATTTCCTGCCATGCTTGCTCAAGGATTGATAATGGCTGCAACAATCCTCGGTAGTGGCAATGCTCCCCTTTACTCCTCTTGCAAATATCACAAGATTGTACACAGGACTTCACATCCTTTTTCATTCCTGGCCAGTAGAAATAGTTCTTCATTCTCTGGTATGTTCCCTGGTTCCATGAGTGTCCTCCAATTGCATAATCATGCATGTAGTTGATGAGCTATGACCTTAATTCTGAGTTACTCTCAATATACAACCTTCCCATATACCTGATAATCCCTTGTTGATAGGTGTAGTATTGCACACTAGATTTGTCCACAGCTAGTGCAGTCAGTAGTTCCTTGGCCTTCTCATCTCCATTATAACTGCTTGAGACCCTTGTTAGCCATAATGGTTTTGCTGTGGATATGGCATGAACCTGCACCTCCTCACTACTAGACCCCTCGTTCCTCCCTTCCAACCTTCTAGAGAGAGCATCAGCCACCAAATTATCCTTACCCCTTTTATATTGGATCTCATAGTCCAACCCCATAAGCTTGGCCAACCATTTTTACTGGAGGGGTGTAGTGATCGTTTGTTCCAGTAAGTACTTCAAACTTTCATGATCAGTTTTGATTATGAACTGAGTTCTTAACAAATAGTGTCTCCATTTCCCCACTGCAGTAATCAATGACAATAACTCCTTTTCATATATGGACTGTGCTTGATTCTTTGGTCCAAGTGCCTGACTCATGAAAGCAATAGGCCTACCTTGCTGCATCAAAACTGCTCCAATGGCCTTTTGGCTAGCATTAGTTTCCAACACAAATGTTCCTGAGAAGTCAGGTAGTGCTAGTACAGGTGCTTGAGTTATAGCATGTTTGAGTTCTTGGAAAGCATCCTCAGCTTGTTCATCCCACTCAAAACCATCCTTCTTGAGCAGATTAGTTAAAGGTTTAGCTATCTTCCCATATCCCTTCACAAATCTCTTGTAATAACCTGTCAGTCCCAAAAAGCCCCTTAAACCTTTAACAGTGGTAGGGGTAGGCCAGGACAGCATGGCTTCACTTTTGCAGGATCAGCAGAGACTCCTTCACCAGTAACTATATGCCCCAAATACTCTACTCTATCTTGCTCAAATGAACATTTAGACATTTTTGCATATAAGGAGTGGTTTCTGAGGGTGTCAAGAACAAGGGATAGGTGTTTGAGATGGGAGTCAAAATCTGGGCTGTAAACTAGAATGTCATCAAAGAATACTAGTACAAATTTTCGAATAAAAGGTTCAAACACTGAGTTCATTAAAGCCTGGAAGGTTGCTGGTGCATTAGTGAGGCCAAATGGCATCACTAAGTATTCATAGAGGCCAGAGTGGGTTCTGAAAGCTGTTTTTTGGATATTAGGTGGGTTCATTCTTATCTGATGATACCCTGACCTCAAATCAATAGTTGAAAAAGCTTTTGCACCACATGCAGTTCATCAAGGAGGTCATCAATGATTGGAATGGGAAACTTGTCTTTGATGGTGAGGCTTTTAAGTTGTCCATAGTCAATGCATAACCTCCAACTGCCATCTTTTTTTTTTTTAACTAGCAAGGCTGGGGATGCAAAAGGGCTATGGCTGGTTTGGATGATACCAGGGCCAACATTTCTTTGACTTGCCTTTCTATTACTGTTTTTTGCCTATGGCGATACCTATATGGGCTAATCTTGAAGGGTTTAGCATCAGGTTTCAAAGGTATCTGATGATTGAGGCTACGGTTGGGGGGTAAAGTTGTAGGTACATCAAATATGTCTTCATATTGAGCAAGTAATTGTGTGAGTGTTTTGGGCACAGTAGTTACCTGTGAGTTTTGTACTCGGATCATGCAAGAATGTTGCAAAGCTGTTCTGATTTGTTTCTGCAATACTTCTGGGCAGATACTCCTTGCCTCATCAACACCTTAGCAGAATGGGAATCCCTTGTAGCAGCACCATTTCACCCTCCTTCTCAAATGACAATGACAGCTTTTCAAAATCAAAGTCATGGGGCTGTAACACTTCATCCAGTCAACCCCCAAAATCAAATCGTATGGTTCCAAGTCTAGCACATACACATTGTGAGTAAAATGATGGCCTGCATTATCCACTTCATATCAGGAATCCATTGCTCACAAACTAATTCTTTCCCATTTGCAATCCTGACTTTAAAAGGTTTATGACTCTTAACAGCTTCAGGGTAGAGTTGAGCAATAGTTGGCTTTATGAAACAGTTGGTGCTGCCTCCGTCCAACAGGATCGACACCTCTTGATCACCATCCAGCTTTTTAATGGTACTGGAAGACAATTGGCCTGAAACTGAGTGGAGGGATAGTGTAATATCTCTGCCATACTTGTTGCCTTGATACTCAATGACCTCATCCTCTTCATCTGCTACTTCATCTACTTGTGCCTCGCCTTCATCTGCTAGCAGCAAATGAATTCCCTTATTCCTGCAAACATGCCCAGGAGAAAACTTCTCTCCATATTTGTAACATAAGTTGTGATCCTTCCTATACTGGAACTCAGTGGGGGTAATCCTCCTAGGGCCTTGGGAGGTAGTTTTACTGTTACTATTGTCAAATGCCTGGTGTGCAGGCTTCTTCGGCATTGCATCTACAACTGAAGTTGGTTTTGTGGCCATCTTGTGTTACTTAGACATAACCTGCAAATAGTGTTCCTGCCATCGCGCCTTCTCAAATGCTAATTGCAGGGCGGTAGGCTTGTGGATCTTGACTACGGACTTAATCTCCTCCTTTAATCCACTCAGGAAACTGGAAATGTAATAAGATTCAGTGAGACCAGGAACCTTGAGCATTACAACAGTTTGCAGCTCCTTAAATTTTTCTTGATAGGCCATTACTGTGGAAGTTTGATGAAGCTTGTTAAACTCCTCTATGACATCGTCCTCCCCCAAATTTCCAAATCTATTGCAAAGCGCTTGGCTGAATCTGTCCCATCGTAACTCACCCTTATCCATCTTGAAGCCTTGATACCAGATACTAGCTTTTCCATCCGAATGCAATTCCACTAGATCCATTTGCTGAGAGTCTAGAATGCGACATAAACTGAAAAACTTCTCACATTTCCTAACCCACTCCCTGGGGTTAGAACCATCAAAATTGGGAAATTCCACCTTAGGACTCCCTACAGGTAGATAATTCCTTTCTCCTTGACTGGACTGCCGCAACTCCAAATTTCTCCGAGGCCTTTGGACAGGATGTCTCTCTGTGTTGTCTGGTGAAGTTCCCAATATCCCTTTGTCACTTTGCAAGCTCCTCACAAAAGCAGTGTATTGAGCACTCATTGAAACCATGAAATTTTTCATCTCAGCTGAGTTTGCTTCTAAGAGCGCCTTCAAATCAGAGTAATTTGTCGCCAATTTCTCTTCCAATGCTAGTCTTTCTACTGCATTAGCTTCAAGGATACTCTGAATCCGTGAATCCTGTTTCTTCAGCTGTTCTTCGAAACCTTTCATTCTGGTGCCTTCCGCCATGGTCAGCTACAGATTCGGTAGCCGAGCTCGCAGATCCAAGGACCGCAAGCTCTGATACCAATTGTACTGGTCTTATACAAGAAGGAATGAATTCAAAAGAGAAATGAAGATAGAGAAGCCTCTTATTATTAAATTGATAAAACTCAACCAATACTCCATCAAATTTTACCAGAAATAAAAAACCCCAAATTTTATCCAAAACCAACACTCCATCAAGAACCAATCCCACATGTCAAATCCCCTTACTCTTCCTCCCTTTGCAGCCTTTCGTTTTCTTTCAACAACCCATTTTATGAAGCCCAAGATCCATTTCTCACTCTTGATCTTTGACATCACCAAGTTTTATCACCCATGATCAACCAATATTGGATAAAGAACATAGATACAAAAAAAATCAAACCCAATACACCCTGAATAGGAAAAAAAAGGGAGGAAGGGATGAGTCTAATCAAATCAAGTTTGCAAAGAGAAGGGAATTGATGTAGGAAAAGTCAAAAAAAAGATAAGCCGAGAAGGAAAAAGAGGGGACAAGCACGGGCAAGAGTTGATGGACAATAGTTAGTGTCCTAAAGTAGAGCAGGAAAGTTGGGTAGACGAGAGTTGGGCAAAGGATGAAGTGGGAAAAAAAGCAACGTAAGGGACGCCCAAGAGAGAGAATCAATTGTTTTTGTTTTTGTTTTCGGTTTGGATTTTCGAATTTTTTCCAAAAAATGTCTTTAAGTATTTTATGAGGGGTAGTAGAGTACTTTTGCATTGATAGGGGAGGTATGTGTAATTTTAAAATATTGAGGAAAGCTTTCCTGAAATTGTCAAAAACCTCAAGGAAGGTTTCTGAAATTATCCCTATTTATTTAGAATACTCTTTTTACTAATGAAATCAAACTAATAGCACAATACATTCATCTATTTAAATGGTTACTTCTCTTTCTTTCTGTATTGCTGATTCTTTCCTTAAATTTTTCCTACACTTACAATATATACATTATCAGCGTTGGATAAATGACAATTATACAAAATTTGAATTTGAAATTCAATTTTATACATATATCATGAATTCAACGAGGATAGTGTATACACGGTCAATATAGG